TTTTTTTTTTTTTTTAAGATTTTATTTTATTTTATTTGAGAGAGAGTGCGCGAGAAAGAGAGCACAAGCCAGGGGGAGAGGCAGAGGGAGAAGCAGACTCTCTGCTGAGCAGGGAGCCCGACGCGGGGCTCGATCCCAGAACTCTGGGATCATGACCTGAGCCAAAAGCAGACGGTTAATCAACTGAGCCACCCAGGCGCCCCAGGTTCAGGTCTTGATCTCAGGGTTGTGAGATCCAGTCCCAGAGGTCGGGGTGGGGCTCGGGGAGTCCGCTTAAGATTCTCTCTCTCCCTCCCCTCAAGATTCTCTCTCTCCCTCCCCTCGCTCTCTCTCTCAAAAAAAAAAAAAGTCAGACACTTAACTGAGCCATCCAGGCGCCCCACAAGCATCCTATTTAAATGCTGAAATGATAGAATAACTCCCTCTGGGATCAGGAACAAGGCAAGGATTCAAATTATATGCTATTCTAGTACTGTCTGTCCACTGGAGTGGAGGTCCTAGCAAACACGCTAAAGAAATAAAAAAGAATGCAAGGTACAGGAATAAAAGAGAAAACGCTGAAAATGGCACATGATCTCACTCTCGGTGTGAAATTCAAAATAATCTACAGATAAATGATTAAAATTTATAGCTGCATTCGACGATGAAGGGGGTTACAGAGATACTAAGTAATCAGTTCACATTTATGTACCTGAATATAATGTATCAAACTGATGCCCAGAGGCAAGGTAAAATTCACGGATGAAATATCTCCTGCACCAGGAGGGGAGATGGGAACGGAGTTGAGGCAAATGTCACCCCGTGCTCACCGAACACGCCGAAATCCACTGACCAGCGTACAGACGAGGTGGAGGTGCTCGTCCCCGTGACCGAATGGCAGGGATGCTTTTACTTTCCGAAAAGACAGCAAAGGATGCTTTGGAAGGCCGATTACATACGAGGGTGGTTTTCTAACTCTAGCCTGCAGCCGACTCAACCCGGCTGCTGAACGCAGCCCAGAGCTCCTGATTCAGTGAGTTTGGGACGAGCCGCGGCCGGGGGAGGCCCCCGGCGCTGGGTTCCGGCGGGGGCAGGGGGCACGGCCAGGGCGGCGGTCCTCCCAATGCCTACCTCTCCCCCTCCCGCAGGCCGGACCTGGGGCTGGTCTGACCGAGCCGGGAAGGACGCGCCGAACTGAGGCAAAACACTAGCCCAGACGCGAGGGGAGGATCGCGGAGATATGGCCGCCAACTCGCGCACGCGCAAGAGCGCATTTCTGCTTCCGGTTTCTGATCCGCGCACAGCGTAAGGGGCGGGGCTTCGGGAACTGAGCGTTAAGGACTAGGGGCGACCTGCCCCTGACCCCTTCATGGGCTGGGGTAAGAGGAGGTCACTATAGCCAGGCTGGTGTTTTGGGGCACTCTGAGACAAGAGGATGTCCATATCCCTGGGGATTGCTACAACAAGTTAATGAGCCCATAAGGCAGAGATGGCAGGTCTCCTAAGCACAGCTAGCAGGCTTTAGCTGTAGTCCCTCTCAGATCTGCTGTCAAGGATGGCATTCCAGCCCCCCCTCAAAGGAACATCAAGACCTCCAATTCTTGGGCCCAGCCAGCTAAAACATTACTTAAAGTAAATAAAGGTGCCTGGGTGGCTCAGTCGGTTAGGTGTCTGCCTTCAGCTTGGGTCATGGTCCTGGGGTCCTGGGATTGAGCCCCGCATCGGGCTCCCTGCTCAGCAGAGTCTGCTTCTCCCTCTGCCCCTCCCCCTGCTTGTGCTCTCTCTTTCTCAAATAAATAAAAAAAAATCTTAAAAAAAAAAAAAAAGTAGGGACACCTGGGTGGCTCAGTCGGTTAAGTGGCTTCCTTCGGCCGGGTCATGATCCCACCAAGGCCCACCCACATCGGGCTCCTTGCTCAGCAGGGAGCCTGCTTCTCCCTCTCTCTCCCTCTGCTTGTGCTCTCTCTGCCAAATAAATAAAATCTTTAAAAAAAAAAAAAGTAAAGTCAAAGAAGTTTATATCCCTGCCCTTCCCAGGAGCCCAAAGAAGGTGGCTATTTTACTGAAGGAATGTTCTAAACCACAAGATGGGTGTTGGGTTCTGCTTACCACAGTTTCTTACCAGGATGCCACCCAGAGGAAGAAAGAGCCCAAACTCCTGGGGGAGGTGAGACATGACAGAATGCAGGATCCTGGAAAAAAAGGCCTGGTCCCCTCTGCTGGAAAAGAGAAAAAAAAAGTACAGTGTCACCACTGTAAGAACTGAGACAATTTATCCTCTGCTTTGCCAGTGACCTTCCAAAAAGTACTAAAAGACAAAAAGGCAAAAGGGGAAGGCAAAAAAAGGAAGGGCTCTTTCTTGGAGGAGGAAATACACAGCATCTCTATGATTAAGGTCCTACCCCAAGAAAGCACTCCCTCTCCCCAACCCCAGGAAATGAATGGCTTGGGAGGAGGATTAACGATTATCAGCTTAGCTAGTAAAATTGGCCCACTTTTGCTAAAAGATGATTCTGTCCTGGTTGTTCCTCCCAGACAGTCCCTTTTCCCATTACTGAAATGGGACCTGCTGAGCCAACCTCATGAAACAAGCTGAAAGCTTTTGCTATTGGTGGGCGCCAGTCGTTGAGAACTAGTTAACTTTCCTTTATCAGCGGAGGTGGTCAATATGCTGCAGGAACTACCAGCTGAGAAAGGCGCTGAAGGAGTTCAGGCCATCCTCGCTGACTTAGTGAAAGAACGGACACCGATTCCTGCCATTTCACCTTTTAGTTCCTGGTGCAGCCTGTGCTTAAAGCTACTAAGCATAAATGAAGCTGACCATAGACTATAGTTAAACATGATTATTCCCTTCATTAGAGCACCCCTACCAGATATCACTGCCTTAATGGATGACATTTAAGCCGAAATTATAAATTTGGCTAATATGTTCTACTCAATAAAAGTTTCACAGGAGAGAAAGGCATCCTCTCCCACAGCCCACATGCTGTGCTCTCTCTCTCTCTCTTTTTTAAATATTTTATTTATTTGAGAGAGAGAGCATGAGCAGGGGTAGGAGGGAGAGGGAGAAGCAGACTTTCCGCTGAGCAGGGAGCCCGACGGGGGCTCGGTCCCAAGACCCCAAGATCATGACCTGAGCCAAAGGCAGATCCTTAACCAACTGAGCTACCCAGACACCCCCGTGCTGTGTTCTCTTAAAGGCACTGTGGGACAAACTTGGACCTGCTTCCAATACCCAGGAAGTAGAACGAATCCCCTTAGACTAAATAAATAACGCTAGCCACAAATGACCATCAACTTTAACCTGTACTCTGTGACTGGGCCTCCTCCCCATAGCTAAGGAGCCCAATCTAGACTGCAGCTAAGCAGTTTTATATTCTGCATTTGTCTTCTGAAGGGGCAGGGCAAAAAGCATCTCACCTCATCAGAACCTAGGAGGCAATGAGAAACTGTCTGCTGACAGTTTCCCGGGGGAGGTGAGTGGGAGATGGCCTCATGGGGGCTCCTCACAGGCCTTCTATCCTTTCATGTTCTGGGAGAATCACAGGGCATTCTGCCAACATTCAGATTGGCCACAGGTCAAGCCTTTGCCTGCATGGCCTATGTGGATAGATACAAAGATGCAAGGGGGCCACAGCAGAGTCATTTCTCTACAACTCTGGCCCCCTATTTTTCATGTGTCTACCTAAGAGTTCTTTTTAGATGGTTTTTGTTTGTTTGTTTGTTTGTTTTGTGGTAGGCAGAATAATGCCCCTGCCAAAGATGTCCATGTCCTAATCCCCAGAACTTGTGAATGTATTACTTTGTATGCCAAAGGGGACTATGCAGGTGTGGCTAAATTAAGGTTCTTGAGACAGGGGAATTATTGAGGTGGGCCCAATGTAATCACAGGGATCTTTATAAGTGAAAGAGGGAGGCAGTAGGGTCAGAGTCAGAGGAAGAAGTGTGAGAATGGAAGCGGTGATCAGAGTGATTTATGGTCGTGAGCCAAGGAATGGAGACAGCCTCTAGAAGCTGAAAAGGTAAGGAAACGAATTCTCCCCTAGAGTCTCCAGAAGAAACACAGCCCTCTGGACACACTGAATTTGGCCCAATGAGACCCATTTCAAATGCCTGACCTTCACAACTATGAGATAATAAATTTGTTTTGTTTTAAGCTACTAAGTTTCCGGTAACTTGTTATAGCAGCACTAGGAGGCTAACACAGATACTGTAATTAATTGTACCCATAGGGGCTTATACCAGAATTGATTCTGTTCTTTTTTTTTTTTTTAAGATTGTATTTATTTATTTATTTGAGAGAGAGAGCAAGAGTGAGCAGGAGGGAGAGGGAGAGAAAACCTGAAGCGGACTCTGTGCTGAGTGCAGAGCCTGATGCAGGGCTCAATCCCAGGATGGTGAGATCACGACCTGAGCCAAAACCAAGAGTCAGACGCTTAACTGACTGAGCCACCCGGGTGCCCCTGATTCTGTTGTTTTAGAGAACTTCAGACAAAACTGACCAGGGCCATGACTCCCAGTAGGGTGATGAGGGAGGGATATGTGGAGGATATACTTCAGCCAGGCTCCCCATGCAGAGCCAAGCCAATTAAATCATTAAACTGGGTGCAGCAAGAGGTGTTGGCAGCTGAACACATCCTGCTTCAGCTGCCAGCAGGAAGTCCAAGGTAACACAATTGTTCATTACCACTCGTGCTAAAGTGTTCAGAACACTGTTATCGTATGTGGGAAGTATACAAAATAGGCCAATAATAATAGGATGAGGCCAAAGGGAATCATATTAGTGCCCAGAAAGTTAATTTCGTTCTGTTAATTCACGTTCAGTATCAAGGGAGGCTGCTGCTCCCTAGAGGTTCTTTGAAGTGTCTAAATGTGAACATCTGTTTCAGAGGTTACCTTGGGGCATGGAGAGGAAGTTTATGGATTGAGACTTTTTTAGAATTTTACTGTGTCATTACAAATTCAGCATCCTCGTCTTACTGCAATTAAACTCACACTTTCCCACCTCCAGAGATCTTGGAGACCGAAACATTGGCCAGATCTCTTAAAAATATTTGTTTCCCTACAGAGTTTCTGTTTCGGATGATAAAAAAGTTTTGGAAATGGACAGTGGGGATAGTCGGACAACTTTGTAAATATACTGAATGCCACTGAGTTGTACGTTTAAAGATGACTGAAGTGGTAAGTTTAAATTTTACCGCAGTTTTTATTTTTTTTTTAAGATTTTATTTATTTGACAGAGAGAGAGACAGCGAGAGAGGGAACACAAGCAGGGGGAGGGGGAGGGGGAGAGGGAGAAGCAGGCTTCCCGCCGAGCAGGGAGCCCGGAGGCTCGGGGCTCTATCCCAGGGATCATGACCTGAGCCAAAGGCAGACACTTAACTGACTGAGCCACCCAGGCGCCCCTTTACTGCAGTTTTTAAAAACATTTGTTGTCCTTCATTATCTTATCTCATTGGCTGCATTTTTCTCTGAGCAGTGTGTCAGCTACACACACTTTCCGATCTCCCAGGAGGAGCAAAGGAAGGAGCTAGGGAAAGTGTACAAAGGTTTATTTGGGAATAGCAGAGAACTGCAATTTAGGACAAACAACCTACAGCAAAAACCATACACTAGTTCAACAAACAAAGGAGAGAAACATTATTTTTTGAAGAAGGAGAAAGTTGAGAGGGGTTGTTTTGAACAAGAGTCCATTGGAGAAAAGGAAGAGTTCAGGGTGATGATAGTTTCTCATTGCCTGAGTTGCTGGGGAAGTCTATTTCTTATAGGAGATGCAATGTACATCTTCTGTTGGGGAATGTAATTTCCCGTTGAGGATTCTTCTGTTGGGGAGTGTATAATTGATAATTCTTATAGTGATTAAGGAGTGGTATCCTGTAAGTTTCCCCTCTGGCCTCCTGACTGCATTTAGTAAGGTTTCTCAGAGTTTCTGAGAATAAATTACAATTCTATCAGAATAGCAGGTTCACTACCTAGTCCTTGACATATCCCAGGGAAACAAATCCCTCAAGCCAAGAAGAATTACAGCAATTCAGAATTCCCTCCCCTTTCACCAAAAGACAATTTAGAGAATTCCTAAGACTTATTGTAGACTGTCCATTTCCAACTTAATGTAATTATCTGCCTCCTTCTATGATGTGACTAATGACATCCCTGACACTCTGCCATGGCTAATATGGAGAAATTTCCCACTCTGGGTCTCCCAAATTATAGTAAGCGCTTTTCTTTTTCTTAGTACTTGAAAGGGATGGCCAAGCTCTTAGACTTTTAACTCAAAATCATAATGGAAATCAGAGGCCCATTAGGCGTAACAGTTGCTCTCCTAACCCAGTAAAGAAGACAGTAGCCTCAGCTGCACATCTAGACAAACCATCTTTTTTTTTTTTTTAAGATTTTTATTTATTTATTTGACAGAGAGACACAGAGAGAGAGGGAACACAAGCAGGGGGAGTGGGAGAGAGAGAAGCAGGCTTCCCGCTGAGCTGGGAGCGCGTGGCTCGATCCCAAGATCCTGAGATCATGACCTGAGCCGAAGGCCGACGCTTAACGACTGAGCCACTCAGGCGCCCCTAGACAAACCATCTTATTTAAACTTAGGGTCACCTCTTCACCTCCAGCGTAGTGGACTGAGGTGCTGTTGTAGCGTTTTCTCCCTCTTTCCTCAGGTGCAGTTTGCAGCTCCCTTCCCAGGTTAAGGGGAATCACAGACCAGGAGGCTGAACTATATTGAAGAAAAATGAATCATGAATAGTGACTTTATGTGGCCATAGGAAAAGCTCGAGTGCAGCGATGCAGCGATGCAGCGATGCAGCGATGCAGCGATTGTATTCATTATCTCTACCGGAAACGTGCAACAAGCTATGCAATGAAGAGTATGATGCGTTCACGTATGCACCAAGATTTGAAAGCAAATGTTATTCAGTTAAGACATGTAAGAGCACGGGCTGGGGAGGAAAATAAGCCGCTTCAGACCCAGCGGCCCGCTTCGTTCCCGCGGGAGGAAAACGGCATCTCTCCTCCCCCAGTTGGTTGGCACAACAGGAATCTGCAGCGGTCCCTTCCCGCGAGGCCCCGCCCCTTGCGCGGTTCGCGGAGACCCGAAAAGCGCATGCGCAAGGCGGCGGCCATTTTGGCCGCGCGCCACTCCCGCGTCTGAGGGGAAGTCCTCCCCTCTGAGCTGCCGGCCTTGGAGCGCCTACGCGGGAAGGAAGGACCGCGAGGGGGAGGCGCAAGGTTGAAGGTCCCTTCCTCCAAGAGCCGGGGCCGGCTGGGTCCCCGGGGCGGCGACGGTAGCCCCGGGGAGAGGCGTGCCGGCCAGGCCTTTTCTGGTCGTGGTGACTCCGGCTCCTGCGACCCCCGCCCCCGGCAGCCTGGCGGTTGTGTTTCCTGCAGGCGGGCACGCGGTGCACTTGTGGGTGTCGGTTATTGAAATTCGGTAAGTTCTCCGCTGGAGAGAGGGACCTTTGCAGGTTCTTAGGGAGCACGTGTGTGTGACACAGATAAATGCAGGAGTGAATGAATTCGCCGAAGTACAAAACCTAGCGCGGCAGAGCCCTGCCAACGCCCGGCGCTTCCAGTGTAGGAGTCTCTCAGGGGAAGGACGAGGCTGGCCCGTTGCCGTTAGCTGGAATTGAATTGACCTAAAGTAACATGAGTTTGGACAGGTGGGTTTTTCTTTCGGGTATTGGTCCTTAAAATATGCAGCGGCAATGAAACGAGCATCCGTGGAACCTTCATCCACGTTCACTAATTGTTAAGATTTTGTCTCGTCATATGTATTGTTAGGGTGAACCAGTTAATGGTAAATTGCAGACATTCACTTCACGCCTTAATGGTAAGCATGCATCAGGACAATCTTCTACTAAAAACAGAACTCCAGGAAGTAGAATTTCTCCAGTTTTCCGAAAGTATCTATTAGAGTTGTCGGGATTTTTTTGGGAGCTAGGATCCGAACAAGATTTGCATATTGCATTTTGTTTTAGCTCTCTGATCCCTTTTACCTAAAATATTTGCCTGCATTTAAAAAAAAAAAATAGTTTTGGTTCTTGAACGTTCCAAGAGAATTTTACTGTAAAATGTTGGCATTCCAATATGATGTTGTTTTCCTATGATTTCATGTATTTATTTATTTGTCAGAGAGAGCGCACAAGCAGGGGGAGCAGCAGGCAGAGGGAGAAGCAGGCTCCCTGCTGAGCAGGCAGCCTGATGTAGGAGTCCATCCCAGGACTCTGGGACCATGACCTGTGCGGAAGGCAGAGGCTTAACGGACTGAACCACCCAGGCGTCCCTTCCTAGAATTTCATTTAATTAACTTGTCTATTTCTTGTAAAGGAGACTTGGGTCTAGAGCAGTACTATATATATATTGTGAGGTACAGATGTAATTTTTTATAATTTTTAGTAACCAAATAAAAATTTTAACCTGAGGGGCCCCTAGGTGGCTCAGTCGGTTAAGCGTCTGCCTTGGGCTCAGGTCCTGATCCCAGCATCCTGGGATCCAGCCCTGTTTCCCACTCCCTGCTCAGCGGGGAGCCTGCTTCTCCCTCTCCCTCTGCCTGCCTGTCTGCCTACTTGTGATCTCTCTGTCTGTCAAATAAATAAATAAAACCTTTAAAAAAGTAAAAATTTTAACCTGTGAAATTATTTTTAGTGTGTCTTATTTAATCCAACTTACCCAGTTATCAGTATAAATTAGTGAAATTAATGACTAATGTAGTTAATAGGGAATTATTAATGAGAAATTTTACATTTCTTTCCTTTTGTAATAAGTTGCTGGAACCCAGTGTGTATGTACACTGGATCTCAGTGTGGATGCTGAGTTTTCATTGGAAATTCTTGATTTGTATTTGGCTCTTACTGTTTTGCTGTAGAAAAAGATCTCCAAACCCAGATTGTTCAAACATACTGAAAAGTTTTTTAGTAACTGAATCAATTTTATTTCTAAATTCTAATTAATTAAAAGTAAATAAAATTAAGAATCTAGCCCCTCAGTCACACTAGCCACATTTCATGTTCACAGTACCCAAAGAACCAGCCAGTGCTTGCCTGGTTAGACTGCAAATTTAGACACTTGAACGTTTCTGTATACTTTGTATTGTATCAGGAAGCAGGTAAGTGCAAGTTGTCCCATTTTTAGGAATGAGAAGCATTTAGTCAAGGTGCACTTCTCTCATAGTCATATTTTTGAGGTAATCCTTGGGTGATACTTGGCAACAGGGGAATGTGTTTCCTAACAGCCTTTTTTTTTTTTTTTTTAAGATTTTATTTATTGGACAGAGAGAGACAGAGAGAGAGGGAACACAAGCAGGGGGAATGGGAGAGGGAGAAGCAGGCTTCCTGCCGAGCAGGGAGCCCAATGCGGGGCTTGATCCCAGGACGCTGGGATCACGACCTGAGCCAAAGACAGGCGCTTAACGACTGAACCACCCAGGCGCCCCTCCTAACAGCCTTTCATCCAAGGGTTTCACATCACTTGTCAGTTTTTGCCTCAATCTGTTTTTACGTGGGGGCGGGGGTGTTACAAAATGGTGTTTTTCCTGTCATTCCTTCTCCATTCTTTAGCTATTCAGCTTTCTTTCCTCACCTCCCCTGTCCTCTATACTATTTTCTTTTTGGAGTATCACAATATATTCTTGGACTTTTCTTTCATTCACTATTATTTTGATGCTCAAACTGTCCCAAATTTGCCCAAGGGTAGTCCTTTTGAATCCTGTGTCCCTTCAGCATGAATGCTTTTAGTCTTTAAACCCTGTTAGTCTTTAAAATAAATTCCCAGTTCACTTTGTACTTTTTTTTTTTTTTAAGATTTATTTATCTGAGAGAGAGAACACAAGCAAGGAGGAGGGGCAGAGGGAGAGGGAGAAGCATGTTGAGTAGGATGTTGAATGGAAGATGCTAGACACAAATTAATGCATATCGTATGATTTTATATGAAGTTCAAAAACAGGCAAAATTACAGTGTTAGAAGTCAGAATAGTGCTTCTATTTGAGGAGAAAGGAGTAATTTAGATGAGGCATATGAGTGCTTCAGGGTGGAGAATTTCAGGATAATGTACTGTACACTAGTAATTCTACACTTGTTTGAATGTGTAATTCAATAAAATGTTTGAAAAATTAACTGTAATTTCCAGGTATTTGAAAAGACCAACAAAATGAACATAAAGCATAAATAAAAAAAATAAAAGTATAAGTAAGGAAGGAATTTTTAAAAGGCAGATTTAATGAAAAAAAGAACTAAGGTTTTTTTAGGAAAAAAGTAGATAAACTTTGGGCAAAGTCTGATTTAGCACTCCACCTACTCAACATTTTATACCCTCTGGTAAGACTCGGGATTGGTCAGATCTCTTACATGAGTGTTTCTAAACTGATATGCCATTGAAGTAGAGCAGTATTTGAAATGTATTCTGAGTTTATTTTGTTTACCATGGAATTGTTCTAGTGCTTTGGATCAAAAGTTGAATGTCACTTTTTAGGCAAGTCAGATGCCAGTTTTTCAAGAGCCTTCTGAAATGGTTGTTTTTGTATTCTGTTTTTATCTTTTGCAGAGCTAGTTCTGAGTTTGCTAAGAAAAATCCTTGGGTGTATGTGTGTGTGTGTTGGGGAATGCAGAGGATAATATTCCTTATCTGTTCATATTTTTTCCCTAGCGCTTAACACCAACTAATAGAATACAGATTTATTGTTTAGTATCTGCTTAGCCCTTTGGAATGTGAAAAATCTAAGGTATGGGGCATTTTCTGTTAATTACACTGTGCTCTCTTCAGTGCACAGTGTATTATGTAGCAAAGGGAAGGACCTTCGTAAAAATTTGCATAATGAATGAAGGCAAAAGCTGATATAAGGACTTGAAGGAAGGCAACTGGGCCTATGTGGTTTTGCCAGGTGGAGGAGCTCAAAGATGTCTGAATTAAATAAACCGTTTGTGCTGGGGATCCTCAAGACCACCCTCATGCTCAGCAATGCAGTAGGACTCACAAGACTCATGCTGGTAAAGCCACCATTATAGTTTATAGAATACAGATCAGAATCCGCAAAGGGATAAGACACATGGGATTAATTCCAAAACAAACCAGGCACAAGCATCCAAGTGTCTTTAACCAGTGCAGTCAAATGGGCATTGCTTAATATTCCTAGTAATAATGTGTAACATCGCATGTGAAATATTGCCAACCAAGGAAGCTCACCCGGTACATTAGATTATTCAATTGGACTGCTGTAACAAAAATATTATAAATTGGGTGGCTTATAAACAACAGAAATTTCTCACAGTTCTGGAGGCTGGGAAAATCAAGATCAGAATGCCAGCAGATACGGTGTCAGGTGAGGACCTACTTAACTGGTTAATGGAAGGCAATCTTCTCACTGTGTTATCACATGGCAGAAGGGGCAAGGTAGCTCTTTGGGGTCTTTTATAAAGGCACTAATCCCATAATTACCTCTCAAAGGCCCCATCTCCAGAAACCATCACACTGGGGATTAGGTGACAATGTATGAAGAGGCAGGGAGGTACAAACATTCAGTCTATAGTCCCTGAGCTTTGGTGTCCAGGTTTTCATTGTGGGTCAGTCCCATAGGCATGTACCACTGACTTCAGCCATGTAGGCTCCAGCCTGAGTTCAAACTGTTAGAACATTGCCCAAAGAGTCAGGCATATAAAAACAGATGTTCACCATAAATCACATTGTTAGCATAAACTATCTGGTCCAACTGGTAACTGTGTGGCCCAAGGCTTCAGACATTACCAGGCAGGGTATTCCATGGACTCAGGTTGTCTCCCACAAGCCCCGCCAAGAGTAGATCTGAAGACAGGCTTTTCTCAGGAAAGTGCAGGATTTGAGCAACCCAGACCTGCTGAATTAATCATTTCTTGCACACCATTTTATAATCGTTGTCCAGGTATGTTGGCAAATAACAATAACCTTAGGAGTTCAGGCTTTTGAGCTAGAGTAACCTGTATTCAGACTCTGGCTCTTCCTAATTGGTGATTTTGGGCCAGTGACTGCTTCTATCTCAATGTAGATTGCCTCAGCTGTGGAATGACAGTAATAATAACCATGTTGATAATCATATGAGCTACCACTGCTTCTGGCACATAATAGGTATTCAGTAAGTGACGATTGTTATTTATATTCATGTGGTATACTCTACAATTTTTAATGGCTTTCATGTAACTTCATCTTCTACAGAGAGCTGACTAATGAATGATGCTTCATGACAGCTGAGTACTACCTGTTGCTTAAAGACTGATGGTATGTGGCAAGACTCCACTGCTACTTAATCAAGAGGAATTGAAATTGACCTATCTCCATTAAATTCAGACACTGTCTTGAAGGACTTTGGGAACAAGAGGGTTCAGGGAGGTTTTACTGTCATACCCACAGGATGCCAGCCATTGATCTTTTCTCTTGTGGTAAGTCCTTGTTGATGCTCCTGTCAGACTGTTTTACCTAGCTTGTGAACAGCCTGTCTTGTGGTCAGTGTCTAAGCAGACCTGTTTCTGTACTGTCCAGGAGGGGGCTTAAGTAGATAAGAACATTCTGATGTCTACGTCCTGGGATTTGGGAAGGAGGGGTGGGTATTTTTGTGGGAGAGAGTCTGCTTAATCACGTGATGAGATTCATTATTGTTGGCCAAAGAAAACAACTTTACCTCTCTGGACTTTAAATTTCTTTTTCTGTAAAATGGAATTTTTCCTCCCAAAGCTCAAAACCCTTCTGATTTCAGATGAGGATGAGGTAGTCTGCTTGGGTATTTTATGGCAACAGCAGGTGTGTCAATTTAGAATTAGCGTGGAGTAGCTTCTAGCCTGAGTGGGAATTTTGGGCAGTTTGGGTTCTCAGGTTTTATTTCTTCTCCCCAAGGTCACCTTTTTTTTCTGACTTTGTGAGGAGAAGTCAGAAGAGGAAAGGATAGTGACCAGGTGTCTGACAAATTATTCTCAGGTAAGTAGGAAATTTATTCTTTTATAAAAGTATATGCTTCTTCCTACCAGGTAGACATGTTTTCTTCTAGTGGAACAGAGTTTCTTTATGTATATAGGGCCTGCCTAGGGACTGAGTACCCAGATAAATTTCCTCAGGTTTCAGGATTTTTTATGTAGTTGACAGATGACATAGGGAAATGATACTATTATCCCAGTATTTACTAATTCAGTCCAACTCTCATCTGTGCTGATTGTGTGCTCTTAGTGTGCTATGATACACTGTGAGGGAGTGGACATGTGTTTCTCAGAATTTGTGCTATCGCCGGAGGAATGATTCATTTATTCACCAGCATTTATTGTGTCTGTAATGTGCTCAGATTATGGTAAGTCTTGTCAATAGAGAAGAATAAGACTAGAAAAATGTACAATGTAGCTGTGGTGAGATACATTCAATTGGGTAAAAGAGGTGCTCTTAAAGCTATATGACTGGATGAGGTCACCAGTGAGTATGCCCAGGTAGAGAGGAGAATGGGCATGAGGACCATCAAGCCCTGGGAGAGATGATGGGAGAACATGGAACGCTATCTAAGCTTTGGGTCTCCCATTCTCTTTCTCCAGTGAACATGGGTTTAGATGGCAATTGCCTGATGCTGGGATGTTTGTGATGGTTTAGGACCCAGTGACCTTTGAGGATGTGGCTGTGGAATTCACCCAGGAGGCGTGGATTTTGCTGGATCAAACTCAGAGAAGGCTGTGCAGAGATGTGATGCTGGAGAACTACAAGAGTCTGGCTGCAATAGGTAAGGTTGGTGCCATGTCTTCATTTAGCTTTTTCTGGAACAAATCTCTCTTAAATGACTGTATTCTAGACTCTGCTGACTAATGGCAATGCAATGGTAAAAAGAGCAGACATTGTTTCTGTTCTTGTAGATCTTATCTTGAAGTGGCTTCCTCTTGAAAATGAAGATCTGTTTGTCGTTCTGGTTTTATTTTCTCTATGGATTGAAAGGCTTAGGACTTCAAAAATGTTTCAAAATACAAGTTTGAGCCGGGGTTTCAGGGGAAAGATCAGCACCCTTTTTGGTGAACAATGAGAGAGTATGTGTTTGCATTTTAGTTTCATTTGAAAGTTTATTGGTCTGAAAAACAAAGTTTATTGGTTTGATAAAGTTGTCACGAACATTTTATTGTTTCTCAAGTTATACCTGACAGTATTTGGTATCCCTAGAGGGGGGGGGGTCCTGATTTATGGAATTATTTGTCATCCCTTACATGTTCTTGTATCAAGCTTCTTTCTCTGAGAGCCAGGTACCAGCTGTGCAGACCAGGTCTGATCTTTCAGGTGGAACAAAAAGGAGAGTGGAGGATAGTGGGAAGGGTTTGCAAAGTAAGGGAAAAGGGAGAGGTGATTTCTTTATGAAAAACAGCAGGAATCTAGGAACTGTGGTCTATTTGGAAATGTTAAATAGGAAGCTTCTGAAGATGGATTTTTCCTGAGAATGCTGGTGCCTTTGGTTTCTGTGGTTCCTTGGGTACTTTAGACTTCTCTTTAACTTTCATCCACTTTTCTGAAACTTCCTTTTGGCCTGACAGTAAGATCTATTTCTTCTTTAAATTTTGCATTTAGCTCTTTATTCATTTTCTTTCATCTTTGCTTTCCTGGTTATGCTGCTTTCTGTTCACCATCAGTCTCAACATTTATAAAATCATTTCTTAGGAAATCACCTACCAACTTGACCAGCACCTTATCATTGCCAGACTCTTAATGTAGTCAGATTTCTCAATCTCTGTGTATTCATTTCTCTTTATTTTATATTTTAAGTCAGTCTTTGAAAGTAAGTAGACATCGGCCTTTATTTTTTTTAACACTTTCCTTCCATCATTTATTTCTCCAAGACCTTAATGTGTTTTTTAATCTTATTTCAGATTGGGAGATTTGTCTTAATACCAAATGGTCAGCACCTCAGCAGAATATTTTGCAGGGGAAAACACCCAGTGTGGTAGAAATGGTAAGATTCTCAGTGTGTAATTCCTTGCCTTCCACAGCAGTGGAAGATTGGAAATTCCATAAGATAGAAAAGCAACATGATAACCATAACAGACATTTGGGGCTAGTGTTATTCATCCCAAAGGAAACTGTTTCTCACAGTCTCTGAGCATTATGAATTTGACAAACCCTTTAAATACTCCCCGAGATATATTCACACAGTGTTCACTCAGTATTTCCATATACATAATTTAGATACAGTTTTGGATAAGTAATTTCATCTCAATCAATTATCAACTAAACTCTGTAAGAATCCCTGTGAAAGTAAAGACTACAACAGAACTTTTTAGCAGAATGGTCACTTCATTCTGCTTGAAAGCACTCAGGTCTGGAACCATGCATTGCATGCAGTGAAAATGGAAGAAAAACCAAAAAACTTCAGTCATACTGATTTGTTTCCTGTGTAGTAGAACAGAATTCAAGGCAGAGGGGAGGATCTTTGAGTGTAATAAAGCTGAAAAACTTTTGTAAGTCATCGTAATCTCTTCATCAACAGGAGAGAAGCCATACTGGAGAGGAATTGTTTAATTTTAACCATTGGGAAGAAGCCTTGAGTGAACACTCCTGTTTTAAGATTTACAGATTACTCACATTAGAAAAAAACTTGTGAGTGCAACCAGTATGTAAAAGCCTTCACAAAGAACTCTGCCCTTAATCTATACAACAAAACCCATGATGGAGAAAAGCCTCCTAAGTGTAATCAGTGGTGAAACAGTTTTTAGCCAAAATCCACATCTGTTCATGAGAAAACTTACACTCGAAAGAAACCGTATAAATGCACGGACTGTGGGAAAGGCATTCCTTCTTCCTTACACCTTAGAGAATGTGTAAGAATTCATGGTGGAGAAAGGCCACATACCTTTAAGGAATGTAGGAAAGCTTTTTCTCATTCTACAGGCCTTTTTGAGTATATGCAAATGAACAATAGAAAAAAGTCCTACAAATCTAAAGAGTGGGAAAACCTTTATTTGATCTTGTCTTATTCATCATTTAAGAACTCAAAGTGAATTAATGCCTATGGAATGTAAGAAATTTGAGAAAACCTTTCCTTGTTCCCTAAATCTTGCTAAAGGTATACAGTTTCATATGAGAGACACACACTGTGTTTGCAAGGAGTGTAGTAAAGAGTTTACTTGTTTCCCAAAACTTAATATTCACATGTGAGTTCACACTGGAGAAAAACCATATGAGTGTAGTAAATGTGAGAAAACCTTTACCAATTCTTCAGATCTTATAAACACGAAATCACACTGGAGAGAAGCCTTATGAATGTAAGGAATGTGGGAAAGCCTTTAGTAACTCATCTTGCTTTAAAAGTCATATGCAAACTCCCTTGAGTAAAACCCTATAATTGTAAGCAGTGTGGGAAAACCTTTAAGAATTCACAGTATAGAAAGAACTTTTGAATGTAAGGAATATGGGAAGTCATTTAGGTATTCTTTGCACTTTAGTCAACATAACACATACTGGAGAAAAGCCATGTAAATGTAAAAAGGGTGGGAGAGCCTTCACTATTTCATCAGGCTTTACAGTACACATGAGAACTCACACTGCTGGATGACCTTTTGAATGTAAGGACTGTGGGAAAGCCTTTACTCGGTTCACATCTTTTTTTTTTTATTTAAGATTTTATTTATTATTTGTTAGAGCACAAGCAGGGGGAGTAGCAGGCAGAGGGAGAAGCAGGCTCCCTGCTGAGCAAGGAGCCAGATGTGGGACTCGATCCCAGGACCCTGGGATCGTGACCTGAGCTGAAGGCAAACACTTAGCCAACTGAGCCACCCAGGTGTCCCTCAGTCCACATACTTTATTCAACATTTAAGAACTCATAGTGGGGAAAAGCCATATATAGATGAGGAATGTGGAAAAACCTTTACTACTTCATGCCTTACAGAATGTATAAGATTTCACTCTTGAGCGAAGCTTACGCTTGCAAAGAATATGGGAAAGCCTTTAATACTTTCTCTTAGAAAACACATACTAATTCATAGTGAAGGTAACCTTATTAATGAGGAATGTAGGAAGGCTTTAGCTCTGCCTTATACTTTACTATTCAGCTCTGATTTCGCAGGTATGAAAAATCTTATAAATGTAAAAAGTGTAGGATTTTTTTTAATTCTTATCCCCCACTTTGGGAAAACATGAAAGCACACATTAGGAGAGATCCCATGAGTGAAAGGGATATAGGAAAGGCTTTGATTATTCTTTGTTATTAGGAAACATAATTCACACTGGAGAGGAACTGTAAATTATAAATCTAGAGAAGGTGGAAAAGACTATGTTAATTTATGTTACATGTAGTAAATCACATTGGAGAGATTCTGTGTGAGTGTAAAAACAGTGCTTTCAGTAAATATCTTACATATTTTTTTTTTATAAAAATTGAAGTGCTAAAAGGGTTTTTTAAATGAAAAACCTTTGTTACAAAAGGTTTTTTGTTTTGTTTTGTTACAAAAGATTTTTGAATAAAACCTAAAAGTGTAAGAAATTTGGGAAAGTTTTAGAGTACAAATCTTCACTTACTGCATACAAAAAAGTTGATACTGGAAAAGAAAACCATTTTTACTTAAATGGGTTGTCTCTGTGTGTGTGTCTTAAAGTAGACCAATAGTTTTAAAGACCAGTGATGTTGAACATCTTTTCACATACTTGTCATCCATTTATCTTTGGTGAAATGTATGTTCAAATATCTTTTTTCTTGTTAGAGTCTTTGGTTTGTTATTATTGAGTTTGGTTTTCTTAATGAACAGATTTATTGAGGTATAATTGCCATGCAATAAACTGTACATATTTTAAGTGTATGACCTGCGTTTTGATGCATACACACATCCATGAAATCATCATTTTCCTGTACACTAGCAATGAACAAATAGAATTTGAAATTGCAAACACAATACTATTTATACTAGCACAACAAAATATGTGCAAAGTCTATATGGGGAAAATTACAAAACTCTGATGAATGAAATCAAAGAACTAAATAAATGGAGAGATATTTAATGTTCATGGATAGACTCTGTATTGTCAAGATGTTAGTTCTTCCCAACTTGACTAATAGATTCAATCCAGTCAAAATTCCAGCAACTTATTTTGTGGATATTGACAGACTGATTCTGATGTTTATATGGAGATGCAAAAGACCCAGAATAGACAACACAATATTGAAGGAGAAGAACAAAGTTGGAGGACTGAAACTACCTGGCTTCAAGACTTAATATAAAGCTGCATTAAGACGGCTGGTGGTGGTAAGAGAATAGACAGATTGATGGAACAGAACAGGTTGCTGAGAAATAGGCCCACTTAAGTAGTCAGCTGATCTTTGACAAAGGAGCAAAGGCAGTGGGAGTGAAGAAAATTCTTTCCAACAAATGACGCTGGAACAATCAGACATCCACATGCAAAAGAATGAATCTAGACACCGAACACTCTTCACAAAAATTAACTCAAAATGCATTGTAAACCTAAGTGGAAAATACAAAACTATAAACTCCTAGAAGGTAACATAGGAGAAAACCTAAATGTCCTTGAATGTAGCAATACCTTTTTAAATATAAAACTGAAGGCTTGATCCGTAAAAGAAATAATCGATATACTGGACTTCATTAAAATTAAAAACTTAGGCTCTCTGAAAGACCTTGTCAAGAGAGTGAGAAGACAAGTTGGGAGAAAATATTTGCAGAAGACACATTTGGATAAAGGACCGTTACCCAAAATACACAAGGAACTCCTAAAACTCAACAGTAAGAAATAGCCTATCAAAAATGGGCCAAAGACTTTAAGAGACATTTCTCCACAGAAGATGTACAGATGGCAAATAAGCATTTATGAAAAGATGCTCTACATCATGTCATCAGAAAAATACAAATTAAAATGAGATAACACTACACATCTATGAGAATGGCCAAAATCTGGAACACTGACAGCACCGAATGCTTCTTTGCTGGTGGGAAAACAAAATTGTACAGCTGCCTTGGAATAGTTTGGTGGTTTCTTTTTTTTATTTTATTTTATTTATTTATTTGACAGAGATAGCGAGAGCAGGAACACAAGCAGGGGGAGTGGGAGAGCAAGAAGCAGGCTTCCTGCCAGCAGGGAGCCCGATGCGGGACTCGATCCCAGGACCCCGGGATCATGACCTGAGCCGAAGGCAGACGCTTAACAACTGAGCCACCCAGGTGCCCAGTTTGGTGGTTTCTTATAAAACTAAATGTACTCTTACCAAATGATCCAGTATCGGGGGTCCTTGGTATTTACCCAAAGAAGTTGAAAACTTATGTTCATCAAAAACCAACACATGCATGGTGTTTCAGAGTTGTTTTGTTTGTTTGCACATGAATGTTTATAGCAGTTTTATTCCTAATTGCCAAAACTTCAGTAGGTGAATGAATGCCTTCAGTAGGTAAACGAATAAATAAACTGGCGCATCCAGACAATGGAATACCCAGCACTTAAAAGGAATGAACTATCAGGCCTTAAAAAGACCTGGAAGCACCTTAAATGCATATTACTAAATGAAAGAAGTCAATCTGGAAGTGTTACATACTGTATGATTCCAATTCTTATGACATCATGGAAAAGGCAAAACAATGGAGATCAGTGGTTGTTGGGTTGGGGGAGGGGCAGCTTGGGGTATGAATAGGCAAAGCACAAGGGATTTTGAAGGCAGTGAAATACCTTGTATGATACTATAATGGTGAATATATCATTCTATATTTGTCCATACCTTAGAATGCACAACACAAAAAGTGAACCCTAAGGAACTATGGGTGATGATACGTCAATGTTGGTTCATCAGCTGTAACAAATTTACCACTCTGGTGTGAAATGTTAGTAATGGTGGAGGTTATGCATTGTGGGGGCAGGAGTATATGGAAAATCTCTGTACCTTGCTCAATTTCATTGTGAACCTAAAACTGTTGTTTAAAAAAAAAAAAAGTCTTAAAGTGAATAGAGACCTTTGAATCCAAAAACTTTGGGCAGGGAGCAAGATGAAATAGGTCTATAAGACTCCATTAAAAATATGGTCCTATGGGAAAGCAAGTATGATTCAGGTAGCAGAACTCCACAGAGAATCATTCCTATGATGCAGTACTGCTCCTTAAAGGAATAGACAAGATATTCCTGTCTTTCAGAATTGCTATGGATCATTGGCTATAGTAGGCCTTCCATTCCTCTCACTCCTTCTTTCCTTCCTTTTTTAATGATAAGCAGCCAGCATTTTATTTTTTTTAAGGTTATTTTGTTAGTAATCTCTACACCCAATGTGGGGTTTGAACTCACAACCCTGAGATCAAGAGTCGCATGCTCTTGTGACTGAGCCAGCCAGGCACCTCCCACGCCTTTCTTAATATGAATGTCTATTCTGATTATCCTTTTCTCTTCTCACAATTATATATATATATATAAAATATATATATATGGTGTGTGTGTGGGGAGTAAATAACTTGTCTCTTTACTTCACAAATCTTCAAGAGTAACATACTCAAACCAAGCAGTCTTTTCCAGACTTTAGATGTCAAGATTCTGGACATAGAGCTTGAGTCTGATACTATGGGCACAAGATTTTGGCATGGTTTTAATAGGCGGTGACTATTTGTGTATGTGGAAGGTATATAAATAATTTGTGGCAGACTGATGATTTTAAAACTTGGCCCCAAAATTCTTTGACACCGTTCCCTCCCCTTGAATCTGGGCATACTTTTGACTTTCCCCTAGAGGAGTACAATATAAATGATGCCATGTGATTTCCCAATCTAGGCCATAAGAGACCATGCAATTCCCTCCTGGTTATCTTGGCATCTTCCTCTGTTGGGATACTGCCAGTTGGTATGCTTCCCTTGGAAACCAGCAGTTATGCTGTGACATGGAGGGGCTACATGGGGATGCTCCTCTCAACAGTGGAGCAAGATGAAATAGGTCTATAAAACTCCATTTTAGGTCTATAAAACTCCATCAATAGCTGGAGGAATAGCCCTCTACCTGTTTCAAGGAAGGCAACCAGATGCATGTGTGAGTCTCCAGATGACTCCAGGCCCTTGTCTTTGGAGTCATCTTGAGCTGTGTGAGTTTTCCCAGATAAGGCCCTGGTCTTTGTAGAGCAGAGACAATCCATTCATTCCCTTTGTGTCTTGTCCAAATTCCTGACTCATGATCTGTGAAAATAATAAAATGGTGGTGGGTCCACACCAGCAGTTTTCAAACTTTTTGACCTCAGGACTCCTGTATACTCCTTAAAATTGAGCATCGAAAATGCTCTATTATGGGCATTGTATCTATGAGTATTTGACATAGTAGAAGTTAAGACAGATGTTTCAAATATTTATAATTCATTTCATAATGTACATACTTAGGAAAATTACTATTTTCCAAAATGAAAACAAAAAATGTGAGAAGTGAGAGTCTCTTCTTGACCAAACTTTAGTAAGTCTCCTGAACCTTTTCCTGGGTCCGTCTGCACTTCCTTATAAAATCCAGTTTTATCAAGAGCCCTGCTAAGTCAGTTTAGCAAGAGTTCCCTTATCCTCCACCATCCTTCCGGTGCTTTCTAATCACCCTGGCCTGTCTTCAGCAAAGATTGTTAGGTCAGTTCAGCCAGAATTCCTAACCCCTCTTGTTTCCTCTTAGTAATTTTCTTTCTTTCTTTTTTTTTTTAAAGATTTTATTTATTTATTTGACAAAGAGAGACACAGCGGGAGGGGGAACACAAGCAGGGGGAGTGGGAGAGGGAGAAGCAGGCTTCCCGCAGAGTAGGGAGCCTGATGTGGGACTCGATCCCAGGACCCCGAGATCGTGACCTGAGCTGAAGGCAGTCGCTTAACCGACTGAGCCACCCAGGCACCCCTTCTTAGTAATTTTCCATCCACTGACCCTTATCCTGCTTCTTGGCTATAAGTTCCCACTTACCATGCTGTATTTGAACTTGAGCCCATTCTCTCCCCCACTGTAAAGTCTTGTTGCAGTGGTCCCTGTA